ACACGATATTTTGTCAGACAAATAAGTACCTACAAACGAACATGACGTCACCATAGGTCTGGTGTACCTACCTTATCGTCAGAAAGTGGCAGTTGAGAGAGGTTAATATCACAAAAGCTATATTGTTCATCGGACACTTGACGGACCATCGAATTTCCGAGCTGTCGCTGAAACCTCGATACAAAAGAATACCTAACAATTTCAAAAAGCCACGTCTAAATCTGGAAACATTCTCCTCTTCAGAAGCACTACGTCAGACAGTTGAAGAAAAGGTAACATCACTTCCAGTCAACAATGAGACAGAATCATTTTGGTCAGAGCTACGAGATGTACCTACTGTATAAGACCAGCGAAGCAACGTTAGGAAAAACCAGCTTACTCCAACAGAAGATCCACAAAACAGGGAGAGGTGGAAGGAGCACAACTTTACGATCCCGGATTTGGACATAAACGTCGACCTTGAACTTACTAACCTAGTGAACCAATACGAATTGATCCAGTCTCTTGACCAGGAAATAGCAGCCAATGAAATAAAACTGGCAATCAACGCACTTAAAAATCATAAAACTTCAGGTAGATAACATATTCTGGATAAAATTTATAAAATTCTAATTTTCAACACAATATGGAACACAGACATACTTCCACAAGACTTCAGAGATGCAAAAATAGTCAACCTATTCAAAAATAAAGGTAGTGCTTCAGACTGCGGAAATCACAGAGGTATCTCTCTTTTATCTACGGGTAGAAAAATCTTGGCTAGAGTCATGGCCTCACGACTATTTACCAATGAGAGGAACAACGGACCTGATTTTCACCCATAGGCATCAACTACAGGAAAAAGTAAAGAAGCAACAAACTCAAATGTATGTACATAGTAATCATTGATCTCGATAAGGCATTTGATTCCATAAATAGTATCAACTGGTCCATAAATAAAACCACTCTGCACATATATCAAAAATCCATTAATTAAAAATAGAACACGGTTTATCAACAATCAGCAGTTTAAGCAGGTTAACGCGTAAGCTAATGTTTACACGAAATGGATATGAAAACCGATACAACCCATGGTATCGGGACCAATTCGGTTCCTCCTCTTCTCGGGGTCTCCATACCCAAAGGAGCAGCAGCTACACTTCTCTTCAGGGTCGCCTTACCCCGGAGAGTCTTGCCCTTCAGGGCATCGCAGCCTATACGCGCGGGAACCAGTTGCATCCCCGTATTTGATGATGTACCCACTAGCACACAATATACGTTAAACTTCTTATTGTAGTTGTGTGTTTTCCTGAAGAGCAACCCCTAACCTGAGGTCCTACCCACACTAACCGCTAGGCGTGTGACAATAAAGAAGCATTATGGGCTATAATAAAACGTTTTGGTGTGCTAAAAAAGTGCCTACAGGTATGCAGAAGTTTATACGAGAACAATTCGGCAGTCGTGTTGCATAATGGTTCAGCCATAAAGCCCTTCCAAACAAGAGCTGGTGTCCTTGCAAACTACGTACCAGAGGGTTGGAACTTAAATACAGATTCGTCGGCAGCCTGGTCTGCCTGTTCTGCCTCACAGATCGCCAATATGCGGACGACTGTAGCTTACTATCCAACTCTGCAAAGAACTTACAGGAAATTCTTGCGTACTCTTGTGCGTACAACGCGCTGGGCCTCAAAATCAATGTCAATAAAACAAAAATTTTGGCTACACAAACTCATAAAACAGATGTTGTAATAGAAGGTGACAAGTTGGAATATGTTGATCCTTTAATTATCTGGGAAGCATAGTCAATAGAAACCCCAACATCGATGACGAAGTACGAAACCGCATCATTGCAGCCTCTAGACGGGTAGGACACGTACATCGTATGCAGGAAAATCGGCTACCCAGAAGGGTCTTATATGGTGAGCTAGCACAAGGCCAAGGAAAGCAAGGAGGAGGATTGATAAGGTATAAAGATGTCCTCCATGACACTATTAAAAAACGCTGGTTCAGAATAACTGGGAAGCTATGGCAGCTAACAAAGCACAGTGGAGGCGAGTGGCAAATGGCTTCAGTGCAGACGGGCAACCCAACAGAAGAAGTTCGAAACCGGTCTGTAACTAGCAAAGAATCTCATGAATGGCAAGTCAATATTTTCTTTCGTTATCCTAACTAGTATTGGATAATTTACCAGTATCTAGAATTGATAGAACCTCATATTGTGAGATAATAGTAGTGGCGACCCGTTAGGAGATTTTATTCAGGTATAGTGTTTGTACGATTACGCCAAAAGAGGGCACCATACTCGACTAAAAACTGCGGTGATCGTTCGGAAAAGATTGATATGGTCAAGTGGTAGAATTTTATCTAGTATCAGCTAAATCTTTCTTATGGGAGTTTCAACAAGCTTTTTAGTCCTGCATAGTATAAGTATTAAACTCAAAATATTGAGAAAAAGTAACTTTCCTTGTGGAAAGCATGCATATTCTATAGGTCCATAGAGTCGATTTAACCCGAAGCACACTGACCTTGTGGATTCAAATGTATTTGTTGTATCGAGTTTGGTGTTGTTTTCTGATGAAAGAATCACTGTAAAACGAATGAAAGAATAATGAACTCTTTATGTTGTATCCTTTGAACCCTAGGTTTGAAATTTTGTGAAAAAATAACCATTCTGGTGTCGAATAAATACTTTATCCTGAGATCCGCAAGTTGATTCTCAGATGAAAGTTTTCCAATTTTTATTCGGCCATCTAAAACCCGCTCACGGACAAAGAAGTGCCTGATGTAAATGTGTTCGGTTCGTCGATGGAACTTAGGATTCTGGGTCAATTTAATTGCAGCTTAATTGTCAACTTTCAGCACTGGAATTAAGTCTAGAATTTCATCAAACAAGCGTTTTATCCACACAATTTCCTTAGCAGCTTCGCTAGCCACCACTATTTCAGCTTCAGTCATTTGATATGGCAATTTATGTCTGTCTCTGGCTTAGCCATGTGATTGCCCCATTAGCAAACATACCTACCTAAAGCTCCTGAAGTTAAGCGTCCTATGGTTTCATCGCCTCCATGGTCTGCGTCACTGAATGCTCTAATTTTGTTCGGTACTTCTGTTTTATATATCAAACCAAACTCAATGGTACCTTTTAGGTAGCGTAAAATTCTCTTAACTCTTCCAAAGTCTCTGTATGAGGGATTCTCGAGTTTCCGGAAAACAACATTAACTGCATAGGCAATGTCTAGTCGAGTGCTTGTCATCAAAAACATTAAGACCCCAATATCCTCTCAATATGAAAATGTATTCGTAGTGTTCAATTCCATTTATAATTGTATACCTTCCTTCACCAATAGCGTCAATACAGGTTAACAGTTTTGCATTCCAAAGCGGTCAAGACTTTTTCTTGTACAAGCTGTTTGGCTCACTTCTACTGCGCAATTTTCAGTTCTTCTAGTTTCTGAGCCCAAAAAAGAAGAAGCTGATTCAATGGTAATTTCAAATCTCCTTCGTAAACTTTCTAAGAAGAAATCCTTCGATTTGTCGCTGGTTGACGCCAGAAGTCCATCATCTACATCCATTATAATACTAGTAGAAGTGTGTCTTCTTCAACTTAATAAAGAACTTCTATGTAATCAATAAATCTTTGATTCCAACATCTGTGCTTGTTCTAGTCCATAAAGAATGCGCTGAAGTTTCCAGAGCATGTTACATGCTGTGATGTTACTTCCATCCTCATACCCCTCTGGTAGCTTCAACTAGACTTATTTATTTAGTTTTTCATAGAGAAATGCAGTACATACATCGAACTGAGTGAGTGTCATCATATTCTTGCTAGCAGCAATACTGAGGAGTGACCTCATTGTTCCTCCCTTGGCTACCGGCTACAGAACTGTAAGTTTGTTCGTAATCTCCACCTTTTCTTTGTGATCTACTTTTGATGACTAGCCGAGCTTTATACTTGTCAATGGACCCATCTGGGATTGGTTCTCACTTTATATACCCACTTACATGGTACTGCCTTCATTCCTGGTGGTAACCTTTCAAGTACAATTTTCTTGTAGTGACTGTATTTCTTTATCCATTGCCCAAATTGTCTTTATCATTGCAAGTAATAGCATCTTTGTAGCTTAGTGGCTCATGTGGTTCGCTTATTTCTGCAGCAAGTGTCATAACATAGTCCTTCAAAACGAACAGGTTTGTTTAGCCTTTCTATCTCTCTCAGTTGTTTTCTTATTTCAAGTTTATCTTCTAGGTCTTCCCGTACCTGTTTAATGCTCATTTTCTGTCGGATCTGTCATTTCCAGACTTGTAGCTGTTCGGTCTGGTATCTCCAAATGTGGATTAGTTAGTAACTGTTCTTCTTGTTCTATTATTTGATCTTTAGGTTCATTATTTGATGAATTCTGTTACGCTTCCTCACTTATAACAAGTTTCATTGGTTTATAAGCTATGAAACAAATTTTACACGGTTGACGGCAAAAGGGTTTCGTTAGGATCAAAATTACCCTTTTTCATATCTGTGGGACTGGAACTAAATAGTAATCTCGCGACATTTTTTACTTCAAGGTTGATCCTCATAGTGACCTCTTTTTCTATGAAAACGACACCAAACTTGGCAAAATTAAAATAATTATATTTTTATTTTTTATTCATTGCTTCAAAGGTCGCCATTTTCAACCCACATGGTCGGGAGTCGCTGTGCTTCGGATCAAATCAATTCTTTGAAGCTCTGAACTAGACCTGCAGAGCGGCATGCTTTCTGCAAGAAAAGTTACTTTGTTTTGCGTACCGCTTGTAGGTACTATGTCTAATTAATAATTATTATTTTAGACTTTATGAACTCATCACTGCATTTAACTACCTAAGGGAAAGGGAAAGTTAGTACCATTAATAATAAATATGTCATCCTAGGATAAATATTGCTCTACATAATAAATTTCCAAAACAATCACCGCAATTTTTTCGCGGAAACCCAACAAACCCATTTACAGAAAATATAAACACACCATATTGAAAATCGCAAGGTAAAATCACGCCCCAGTCTCATCATTCCTGAGTTGCTGACGATTTGAAATTGGCTTAGTAAACAATTGATTTTGTTTCGTGTTGGTAGATGGGTAAACCTACTTATTGCATATAAAATAATATATTATGATGAAAATGGGTTGGTGCTATCAATGGTGGGTTTTACTGTTCCTGATGAGTGGTTGTGAAATTTTACAGAAGGGTAAGTATCTTATGTAGTGGTTATTATACCCTGTGTGTCGAAAAAAAACTTTTTTTTTTGAGATACATTTTTAAAATTAAGTTAAACTATCCAAGCAAAACTTTTGCTTTTAAACAATCTTTATAAAAAATCGCGTTTATAATGATTAATGAAACTTTCATGACATTTCAAAAAAAAAACTACCTACAGATCGTTTCACGAGGGTTCATACTTTTGATATCGAACGGGTCATAACTTGGAAAAAAAAGGGTCGTCGTAGATTAATTCATATGACACATTCAATTTTTTTGACAAATTAAAATGAATGACTTCTGGTTTAAGAACCGACGAACGTTTTTGACGTCATTGATTTGTTTCAGTCAATTTCTGTTTGTTAAAAAAGGAAGGCAAAAAGTATGAACCCTCGTGAAACAAAGTCTATATAATTTTGCATTACCTTAGCCTTTAGTCATTGAATACTTTTCAAATTCGGAGATGATATTCTCTATAACAAACAATTACATATTATTATTTTGATATAAAATTAAAACGCCAATCAATACTAGATTTCATTTGCTAATTTGCGTACAGTAGGTAATTGAATATATAATTGTCTGTCTTTATTTTTTTATAGCATATATTTTTTTTCTTAGCACGAAAATAATTATATAGGTATTGTCCATCGTTTTTAATCTGATAATTTCTGTATGAGAAGCGAGGGGGTGAAGTATATGGCAAAAACAGGTGTGACGTCAGGTGACCATTGGCGTTCTAATGTAGGGTGCCATCAGCTCACATTCCTTTCGAGTATTAGATTAAAATCGATGGACTTTACCTAACATTATAAGATTCGAAAAATAACACAATATTCCTTTCTTAATCTTGAATTAGGCATCTTTGTTTTCATAATTAATTGATGCAAATGTCTAATTATTGTCCTGAATAAGGGTGTAACGAGGATAAAGATTTACTAAGGATTTTTTTAAAAATGGAATGTTTTTTTTTAGTGTCACCAAAATCCGATAGTGACATAAAGACATGAGATTTTTGACTAATCATGCAGTGGTTAATGTAAAGAAATAAAATAATTATTATTTTCACACTAACAAGTAACATTGATTGATTTGCTTCTGTGTTAAATTGTTTATTTGTCAATAACTAAGTACCTATTCACCTGTTATAACTTTGGATAAATTAACTTATTTATTATTATTATTATTGTTATTATTCATAGTTTCATCTCTTAAATGTTACGAATGCGCAGAAAGTGAGCCAAACTCTTGTGGAAAAATGTTTCAAGCTGATGTTGTAACTATAACAGACTGTCAATATTCCATCTACACTACCGACACACTTAGTATGAAGAAGGAGTATGCCTGTATGCTATTGGAAGAAATTGGTAATTACATAATTTTCATGTAAAGTAAGTAGTAGAAATGATGGTTCTAATTTGTTCAATTGTAGATGTTGCAAGCAACCTTTCCACATTCACCAGAAGATGCAGCGTAAAAAATCTTAACGACACTTGCGAGAATATCGTCCTCAAAAACGAAGATGTACGACCTCAAATAAGAACAAACTGTAGACAATGTGAAACAGACTTGTGTAATTCCTCAACAATTCTAAACATTCGCATAATTAGTAGTGTTGTGTTACTATTAGTAACTTGTTTTGTTTAGAATATTATAAATTAATTTTTTCGAAAAAAAATCTCGGTACCTAAGTTATAACATAAATATTCCTTGGAAAACAGACAGTAAACTTTTTATCTCCATCGGGTGTTTATGGCTGTATAAAATTTATATTCTGAAACTTGCAAGGTCGTCGTAATATAAGTAGGTATCCCCGGAAAAAAAATTGTTCCAAAAGAAATTTCGTGATCCGGAGAAGTTTATAACTCTATTTATGGTTAGACCCAAAACCCAGCCAAACAAACTTTTTTTCGAGACAATAGATGCTTTATAAAATATTATTTTACATGATTTATCGCCCGTAGAAAAAACAGTTTAGGTTAATGTATAGTTTGTCTCTTTATAAGTTTTAGGGACAAATAATAAATATCAGATGACTGTAACCAAACTAATTTCCCCTGAGTTCCTCTCTTGCGGAGGAGTTCTAATTAGTTGAATGAAGGCCCCAAGAAATTCGTCCTTGACCAGGAGCTATTTTATTTTACCTTGCTATGGTCCACAAGGACTATGCTATAGTCTGTGTTTATATTGTTGGGAATTTTTCTCGAAGCATTCGAATAAACTGAAAAAAATTTCTTCATTGAAATGTTTCATACTCCCAGCAGTCCCAGCCCATGTGAATTATGAGGGTATAGTAATGGGCATTGCCCTGTTTTTGGTAAATTTAGTGCATGTGGACGTGAGAAATTTTTGGTTTCAAAAGTAAAGATTAGGTACGCATTCTGGGTGTTGCATTTGAAAAGACATACCCATTACTGATTAATGATGCACCCTAACATACAGCACAAGGAGATCTTAAAGTCGCTAACAAACAACATACCTACAAGACGGTTCTGAAGTTTCCAAATGTTTCTGAAGCGCTATAGAATAATACTTTTGGAAATTCTGGATTGAATTTGAAGTGTTTTGGAATTTCCAAATGGGTTTTTAAAGTTCTAGAGTGTACTGTATCATTTTAAATGGTTTCCCAGTAACTTCTAAATTGAATGAGAAACGAATTATGTGGGAAGTTTTTGTAGACATCTTGAAAACGTCCATAAGATTTCCGCAAACGATATTCAAGACGTTTTTTAGACGTCTGCTTACATGTTCAAGGCATCTTAAAGACGTATGTTTACAAAGCCCAACATATGTCGGACGTCTGCCTAAATACGTCTTTATGACATTTTTCCAAGACATTCTAAAGACGCATTCAACGACATGTCTTAATGACGTCTTTAAATCTCTTTTTAATACATAAACCATTATGCACTTTTAGACTTTAGGTTGTACCACTGGTCTTTAATATGTGAATTTACGACATCTTATGGACGTTTCCCAGACGTTCTTTATTAGTCTCCAGACGCAATGCAGATCTAAGAAAGACGTCTTCAAGACTTTGTATGCTGTATGGGCTGGAGGAGGTAGATATATTTAGAATTAGTTGGGAGTGACAGCTTGAGTTGTAAGTTGCATTCAATACCTACTCTAAACTGAAATCCAAAAACAATTCGAAGGAAGGTGAATCAATCTACTAATTCTTTGAAAAATACATTCTAAAAATAATTATCACACATTAATAAGTTCCAATCCAGCTCAGTCCCACATAACAGTGAAAGAACATTTATATTCTCAGAATATTCCCTCAAAGTGCTTTTTAGAATGTTCTTTTAGGAATGTTTAATGAATATTCTAAGATTGTTTCGATTGAAATATCCATTTTTGAACGTTCTATTTATGTACTAGGAATGTTGCTTCTATGCACCTACCTGAAAGATTGTGCTAAGAACCTACTTTATATAACATTATTTGAATATTGTCATACGAACATTATTATATTGTACCCTAAAAAATTTTCTCTCGACTAATATCTCTATCAAGTATTAAGAATATACCTACCAAGTTGTGCTGAGAACTTTATGTAGGTAGGTAACCATGATAAGAATATTTTCATATTGTTCACCTAATTATCTAAAGTAGCTACTCAAAAATCTTAATTGAACAATTAAACAATAATGCTCTATCTAGAACCTACTAAGAATATTATAGATATATTCTTTTTCTTTTGCTTTGTAGGACTTCCAAGAGAGGGAGCCACGCGCTATTAAAGATCTACATCTTGACTCGCGTTTGAATCACCTTGGAACCTGTTTCTCTCAGTTGGCGTGCTTCGTCGAGAGCATAAGAAGCTCGAAACCGGAGCTTTGGTTAAATACTTGTTTTCCAGAGAAGTTTTCCAACAACTCTTGCACTGCCTTTAATATAAAAGGGCTGATAGGAGCATTATTTGGAAGCGAAAATGAACGTTCCAAGTATATCCTTAGAATCAAACAAAAATGTTATGTCTAGGATACATATTCAGAATGATATATAGATATATTCTAAGAATATTTCAAGCATATTGGTATAATATTCTTTTGAGAACATAACTATAATGTCATAGAAACATTCTTTGAATGTGAGCATATACATTTTGAGCATATTTTAAGAATAAAACAGGAATATTCTTTATAGGATGTACTGAGAATCTCATAGGTATATTCTAGGAATATCCTAATGTATTTCCCAGGAAGTTCTTGGGTATTGCAAACAGTATTTCTACAATCTTTTCTCAGAACATTCTCAGGACATTCGCAATGGTTTTGGCGAACATTCTAGGCACATTCCTCCTAAAAAAGAACATTCTTAATACATTCTAAGGATGCAATTTTGTTATGTGGGGTGAAATGTCGATAGTTGTTATTCATCAATAGTTTGAAACGAAAGTACCTAAGAAAAGGTTAATTTCACGAAGGTTTGTACTTTTGACATAGATAATGTCATAACTTAGAAAAAAAGGTTTGTCTTAGATTGATTCATATAATATGAATTCAATAGCATTCAGATTTTGTATTGTATTGAATAACTTTTTGTTTAAAAACAGGCGAACATTTTTGACTTCATTAATTTGTTTCAGTCAATTTTTATTTGTTAAAAAAGGGAGGCCAAAGTACAAACCCTCGTGAAACAAAAGTACCTACACGGTACCATAATGCTCATACAGTAACCTATCATTTCAGGTATAATGGGAACCTTCAGTCGCCAATATATCAAGAAGTTACAGCGAACATTTATCACTAACTTTCTCCTATGTCCTCGACTATAAGGTATCAAATTTCCCGAAAGCCGTAAGTCGTTTCCTAATCGGCACCACGGACGCCCGCCCTCTCCGTGACGATCCGCGTCGCGACGCCCTCGCGTCTGCCAGGAAACGACAATATTCAGTATTCAGGTTCTTGAACTAGGATGTAAGACGTTTTTGTTTGGTTCTGTAGGCTATATTTTTCGTAAAAACACGAAAAACTATATAACATCTACGAAATAAGAATTTAAAAAATTACATCCACCACTGGTAGTTTCCAAATCCCTCTCCTCCTAATTGAAACTGAATTAGTCTAGTTGCGTTTGCTGGCCCTAAACCTCGAAATATAATTCGGTCGAATAATACGTTGATAGGTTAGTTTGTTCGGCTTTAAGTAAGTTTCATACGCCACCAAACTTTATGTATAAACAACTTTCGAACTTTCATATACAAGAGTAGCAGGAGTTGGGGTAAATATGGGCAGGCCTGCAAATTCTATTAAGCCAATGTAATGGACAAAGGAAATGATGGCTTTATTCCATTATTTTTGTCTAAATTTAGCCATTGGCGTCTTCGATCAATGGATGTATGAATATGCCATAAGATGATCTTATTTATCCATTTAGATTCGATGAATAATACAATCGGTGCCTGATTATGTCAATCGACGTACGTCTATGCACGACCCCATCATGTGCTTCTTGGGTGGATCCCGGGGTGGGTGGTCATATAGTTTCCTAATGGAATTGGAAATTAATTTTGGTGATTAGTAATTATTTAGGAATTATTGGATTATAATTATAATTGGGTCAGATTATCTTTGCAATTCAATTTACTAGTTTAGTTTATTTGTCGCTGTTTTTCAAATTAATTTGGTATTATTTATTCTAAATTATCTTTAGATAGTTGAAGTTTCTCAGTCTGTTTCTGTTCTATTTTATATTCTACACTAAGAAATATGTGTCTCGCTTGTATATTTTTGTTTTCAATACATTTAATAAAATAGTAAATAATTTTTTTGGTTTTATGCTGAATAATTAATCACACACACGAAATTATTTTTTTTTCCGTATATTCGGTGGATGAAAAAATCACACAACACACAAAATAAAGCGAAATTAAATCCTTTGTAATTAAAGTGCACAAATACTACCTAATTGATATTTCGAAATTTAATTACTTTTTTTCCCAACAATTTAATGAAGCGGCATTGATTCGGTTTTGGAAGTCTGTTAATTGAAACATGCCGGTTGTTGGAACAATACATAAAAAAAAAACAGTTAATTAAATTAAATAAAAATTCGGGATTAATGCGAAATAAATGAGCAGGACGTATGCTTTTTTCGAAGGCTTTTTCTAGTGTTTTCCAACTAAACTGCTAAACAATTACTTTCGAACAGAAGAAAAAATTTGTCCAACTTTCAAGCTCGATATTTTTGGAACCAAGACATCAAGCTCTGGTTTCCATATACAGTCTTTCTCACAAAAAGTCAATCTGTTGGTCGTTATTTGGTCTGGTTCCAAAAATATTGAGCTTGAAAGTTAGGCGAAATTTTTCTTCTGTAATTTAGTTTTTATGGGTAAAGTAACAAAATTCTTAAGCCAATACGGCCGCGGGACAACATATTTATTTGCCATATTTTATTATCTTGATTTGAAATTTTATTTTATAGTAGGTAAATAGATTTTGTAGAAATGAATGTTGCTCGATATTGCTTTCTTTCAAGTTTCGGACCAGATCACCTGATCACAACGCGTTCTAATTCAATGATCATGTTCTTTGGCATTTTCAAGTTTGACGTTTGCGGATCATGATTCGAAAAATTCTGAACATACTGAACATTTTCTTTTTATGATTAGTTTGTTTGGATCTAGAAATTGTAAGCTACTTATATATTTATGTTGTATTCTATTTATTTTAATTTAAAACGACTCAGGGACTCATCAGGGGGCAATATGAATATGAATCCACCGAATTTTTCTTATGCACAGGAAAACGTAAAGTTAGAAATATTTGATGTAAAAAAAGGAAATGTCAATGAGACTTGGGAGCGATCTTCGGAGGGGAAAATCGAAACATGTTCTGCTGAACTAGTACAGGCATACAAGAATTCATCTACTGATAAAATCAGAGTGAGTCTAAATTTTGTCTACACCTTTATTTTACCTCAATAATT